CTCTTATAGCTACAAACAGGTACCACTCTTGTAGCCACAAACAGGTACCACTCTTTTAACCACAAACAGGTACCACTCCTGTACCTACAAACAGGTACCAATCTTGTAGCTACAAACAGGTACCACTCTTGTAGCTACAAACAAGTACCACTCCTGTAGCTACAAACAGGTACCAGTCTTGAAGCTACAAACAGGTACCACTCTTGTAGCTACAAACAGGTACCACTCCTGTACTACAAACAGGTACCATCTTGTAGCTACAAACAGGGAAACCCCTCTTGTAGCTACAAACAGGTACCACTCCTGTAGCTACAAACAGGTACAAGTCTTGTAGCTACAAACAGGTACCACTCTTGTAGCTACAAACAGGTACCACTCTTGTAGCTACAAACAGGCACCACTCCTGTAGCTACAAACAGGTACCAGTCTTGTAGCTACAAACAGGTACCACTCTTATAGCTACAAACAGGTACCACTCATGTAGCTACAAACAGGTACAACTCCTGTAGCTACAAACAGGTACCAGTCTTGTAGCTACAAACAGGTACCACTCTTGTAGCTACAAACAGGTACCACTCCTGTAGCTACAAACAGGTAACACTCTTGTAAGCTACAAACAGGTACCACTCTTGTACTACAAAAAGGTACCACCCCTGTACTACAAACAGGTACAAACTTGTTTGCTACAAACAGGTACCAAATCTTGTAGCCACAAACAGGTACCACTCTTGTAGCTACAAACAGGTACCACACCTGTAGCTACAAACAGGGAGCACTCTTGTAGCCACAAACAGGTACCAAATCTTGTTAGCAAAAAACAGGTACCACTCTTATAGCACAAAAAAGGTCCACTCATGTAGCTACAAACAGGTACAACTCCTGTAGCTACAAACAGGTACCAGTCTTGTAGCTACAAACAGGTACCACTCTTGTAGCTACAAACAGGTACCACTCCTGTAGCTACAAACAGGTACCACTCTTGTAGCTACAAACAGGTACCACTCTTGTAGCTAAAAAACAGGTACCACTCCTGTAGCTACAAACAGGGACAAAATCTTGTAGCTACAAACAGGTACCACTCCCTTGTAGCCACAACCAGGTACCACTCTTGTAGCTACAAACAGGTACCACACCTGTAGCTACAAACAGGTACCACTCTTGTAGCTACAAACAGGTACAACTCTTGTAGCTACAAACAGGTACAACTCTTGTAGCCACAAACAGGTACCACTCTTGTAGCCACAAACAGGTACCACTCTTGTAGCTACAAACAGGTACAACTCTTGTAGTTACAAACAGGTACAACTCTTGTAGCCACAAACAGGTACCACTCTTGTAGCCACAAACAGATACAACTCCTGTAGCTACAAAAAAGTACCACTCTTGTAGCCACAAACAGGTACAACTCCTGTAGCCACAAACAGGTACAACTCTTGTAGCCAAAAACAGGTACCACTCTTGTAGCTACAAACAGGTACAACTCTTGTAGCTACAAACAGGTACCACTCTTGTAGCTACAAACAGGTACCACTCTTGTAGCCACAAACAGGTACAACTCCTGTAGCCACAAACAGGTACCACTCTTGTAGCCACAAACAGGTACCACTCTTGTAGCTACAAACAGGTACCACTCTTGTAGCCACAAACAGGTACCACTCTTGTAGCTACAAACAGGTACCACTCTTGTAGCCACAAACAGGTACAACTCCTGTAGCCACAAACAGGTACAACTCCTGTAGCCACAAACAGGTACCACTCTTGTAGCCACAAACAGGTACCACTCTTGTAGCCACAAACAGGTACCATCACCTAAATTACAAAACTGTGCATTGCTCAGGAGAGAAAAGGTCAGCTCCAGTCTACCCTTTTATTTTCTATGATAAATGAATGATTTTCAGACACTTTCCATTACACATCACTTCTTACAGACACAGATATCTATTACAAATACACGAATAACCCACACTTAGGAGACAAACTTATGACCATACATCACGGTTTGACTTGGACCATTAACAAGTCACGTGGAGAAACACAGAGGGAAGGGAGCCAGAATATATATGAGAGGGTTCAGGAGAATGGCAGTGGTAGAACGGAAGGAGGGAGCAGTAGTTCTTGACACGTTGTCATGAATTTCAGTCTTCTAAGTGCGGGTTATTTGTACATTGTTCCAGTCATGGTATTGTGACTTTTCTCTTAACAGATATTATACATTACTCTCTTACAGATAGATACTAATAATCAGATAAACTAATCCAAAATCTGTATATTTTTCTATTATCACATATATTTATAAAGACAAACATCACAATTTTTATATAAAAAATTGTTTACTCATAACGTTATATGATAGTCATCTCAAAAATAAAGAGCAGGATATGTACCATTATCTAAGCTAAATATTATTAAATTCTTGGGTAAGCATTAAACTTTCAAGGGTTATACAGTGCTCAAAAAATGGGGAAATTCATGTTTGATCCAAGGGATTATTATTTTGTTATCCTGGGGAGCACTAAACCCGTAGGAATTACACAGCACCTGTGGGGAGGGGGATGATGGAAGGCATTCAGGCTTAATTCTGGGAATTGGAGCACAAATCTAATTTACTTAATCAAGAGCCCTTCACCAGCATGAAAGAACCTCCCTTATAGGACAAGGGAAGAACAGTCCCCATTTCTTTGGATCAAAAGTCCTTCAGTGGTACCAAGACAACCCATCATACAGGGACATTATACTTGTTACAATTCACTACGAGTTTTATCAAATTTAACAAAAGGAAAAAAGGGCTATTAAATTTTTCATATTTTTTTTTTATTATTTTTGTGTGTGTGGTAAGGGACGGGGGGACAGAAGGGGAAGAAATATGGCAGAAACTTTTATCAAAGTAACATTATTATCAAAATCTGCAAATTACTTATGACGTTACCTTAACCTATGTGACCCTCCTTAAAAAAATACATACAGTATTTGTATATGTCCAAGCTACAACATTTTTTTCAATATTATAATATACAAGTGAGTCAGCTACATACAGTTGCTACGGTTTTACAATAACTAAAATGAGAGTGAATCAATGGTGCCAAGCTGTCACAATATTTAACATATAAGATACAAAAGTGAGTGAGTTGTATTAGAGATTCACCTGCAACACTTAGGGATCTTTAACAACAAAATGTTTCACCCACGTTGCAGGCTTATGTCAAATGCAGTCTTGATTACTGACCATCTAGGCTAAATGACTGATTATCTTCCATCAAGACTAAATAACTTGATTATTTTCCATTAAAGCTAAAAGACAAATTATCTCCTTTGATGAGTTTTGAGTCTCTCAATACTCTCAGAGCTCGGCCATGGGCCAGGCTCGTCTGGTGCTTGCCTGGTCAACCAGATTGTTGCTGCTGGAGGCCTGCTGCCCTACATATCCCATTCAAATTCAAATTAAAAAAATTAATTACCTCTCTATTTTGTCTACTGTCTTCAGAATTGCAGTTCATTCAAATGATGAAGTGTGCGATGCAGGGTACACATTTTGAAATAAAGATACCCAAGTATTTCACATATGGCTTACCCCACAACTTGTTGGTATTGTATACCATTTATAATAAGAATATCGTCAACTGCAAGGATAATCCTCAACTGAAATCACCTCCAACCCAAGTCTATTAAACCTACAACTGTCTGCAAATGATGATGATTGTTGTTGTTGGAGTTTATAGGGGCCACTGACAGCATACACCATTCAAGTAATGATTGTTGTTGTTGTTGGGGTTTATAGCGTACACCATTCAAACGACGATTCTAAACTGCCTTCAACTTTCACATATTACATGGCAGAGAATGTACAGCACAGGTCTTTATTTCATCAATATTTTGCTCAGTGTAGACATTCATATTTTGACCTAAACTTCTGCACAAAACAAAACACTGACAAAAATAATTACTGCTATGTAAACACTCTTTACCATACTTGTTGGCATCATTTATCTGTCAACAATTCTACATGCTATTTTTCTATTCATAGTGAAGCATTAAACCCTCAGGTGTTGTACGGCACCTTGGGGATGGGAGGGAGTCAGGTATGATACATGACGAGGGTGGCACAAATTTCGTGTATGGATCAAGAATCAAGAGACCTTCAATGCATCCCTTTCATAGAGATTGGTCCTTATGTGTCAACCCTGCCAGTATACCAACTGTTGTATGCTGCAACAAGAAACTAGGAAATGGGATGGATTCTGCAACTAGGCCAGATCATTGGGTTGCTGTACTCAACCAAGCCAGATCAGTGGGTTGCAGTATTTATGTTGCTAAGCTTTCCATGTAAACTTTATTATTAATTTTTAAAACATCAGCCATCTCCCACTAAGACAGAACGATCCAGAAAATGAGAAAACACATTCATCATTATTCATTCAACCACTATTCTGCCAGAAGCGTGCTGACGTCACAGTTCAGACGGCTCTAAACTGCAAAGTCCATGGTAAAAAATGCAGCAAAACTATTCCATACAGTGCAGTTTTTTACAAATGCAATTGGAAAAGTGTATCAAAAACTAAATAGCAAGAATAAGCATACGTCACTAATACAGTGGGTTAGGGTCCAAGGCTGCTGCCATGAAGCAGATATCACCTTAAAACAAATCACAGCCTTTTTTTAAGTAGATAGTGCATATAAAAGTCCAAAAACATGTTTACACTATCATTTATTAAGTGTGCAATAGCACTAGCCCTAAAAAAAAAGATACAAAGGTAAAAATAATAAGTAATTGAAAATTGCTAAAAACCATCTTAAGAGCAAAGCCCACATGCTTTTAAATTTTGAATGTGCTTTCTCAATCGCATTTACAAAAATAAATCGCACTATATAGAGGAGCTCCATAAGTGAGCTGGCTGTATGGGGGTCACTTGGGATTGACAAATCAAGCATACCACTGAGTGGGTCTACAGTTGTAACACACAACCACACCCGACTCCCACACAGAATGAAGTTTGCACACCCACTTAGTGCATAAGGAACACTGTGTATCAGTTTTTTTATCATCCTTCCTGGGGCATATCCTACATCTTCCACGCCTCTTTGCTCTTCCTACTTGGTAACCGTGTGCCATATTTCGCTTCCCCTGCGAAATAAAAAAATAGTGTTTGTTCACTTGTCTAGAAAAAAAAAAAAGAATGATACATCAATTGCCTTAACACACATTTTAATAATACAATAAACGTGAATTGAGTGACAAAATAACCACAGGGGGAGTTGAATGATAGCTCTAGGTCTTTCATGTTGCAATAAACATATCAGGAGCTTGCAATGTTACTGAAATGAGTAGGAAGTCCGGACAGATTCATTCAGGAAAAACTCTCTACAGATTATGGAGGGTCGATTACCTGAACAAATCTGCCTGGACTTCCTACTCATTTCTGCAACACTGCAAGCTCCTGATGTGTTGACTGCAATGCAAAAGGCCTAGAGCCATCATTCAATTCCCTCTGTGGTTATTTTGCACATATTTTAATGTTAAACTGCATTTAGAATGCAAGTGCTTTGAAAAAGTTAAGTAATGCCAGCCACTGTCCCCCACATAAGCTACTCTCTACAGCAGTGACCCAATAAATACATGGTCAATGAGCGCCTTTCCAAAAAAACGCCAATTTATACATTGCACAAAAGTCCAAAGTGGGCAGGAAAACGACTCGTCAAGCACATTAAAAAGTTTTCAAAAATAAACACGAAGGCTATAATTACACACTCCCTACCTCTAACAGCCATGTGCCTTATTCCAGCTACATTTCTACAATTTTCTAATATATTGGTGATTGATTATAATGGGAAAAGTTATTAACAAGACATTGGTGTACTAAATGGATAATTTTGACTGTTGTGCATCAATAAAAACATTCGGGGATTTCTGTGACCTGAGATAAACCAATCAACTCAGGTGGGGTGTGTGAGAATCTGACTCTCCAGGGGTTGAGGTAAGGGGGTCCACCTGACTACTACTATTAATAATAATAATTTATTTTCCAAAAAGATACATTTGATACAGAGGTCTCATACATGTTCCCATTCATGTTTTGTTGCCAGAGGAAACTTTCATTTCTTTCTAATTTTCACCCAGATTTGGGCAACGATTTTTTCCCTGACTTCCAGGAAACAGGACTCAATATGGCATAAGCTGTGGTGACCCTATAAACCAACATCAACAATTCCCATACCATTACAATACTCTTGCAGTTTTATTGATTATTACTTTCTCAAACACATTCACTTTAAAGAATGTGTTGCTTACATATAGGGGTAGCGAGTTCCTATATGTCAGGTGCAATTTAGTAATGAAAAGTGGCATTTGTTTTACCTATGTTGACAAGCTGGCAACAACTGATGGTGATGGTACAGGTGATAATAGGTGATAATTCCTACCGCATTTATACAAGTATTTTACAGGGCCACATCAACACACACCACACACTAGCATATCGACAAACAACAACAAATAAGATGTAAGATATGAAAACTATATTATTTTTGATGTTTTATGAAATAGAAAATTAGTTTGGCTTGTATCGAGGCATCAAGAACCTAACCATATTTTTCCCTTTTGTTCTTCAGTCCACAATGTTATTTCATTTAAAGCCTGTTAACTGGGGTTTTTACTGTATATTTGTGGAGCAAAGTGGCATGTACTGGCATCTGTGTGGTTAGTGTTGTATTCTCTACTAAAACACATTAATCTGCAAGTACGATTACTGCATATAAAAGTGTTAGTCAAAGACAGAGGAAGTAGCTGCGATTCTTTTAATTAAGAGCCTTTTTATCAGCATCAAAGCAACACCCATGAAGATTGTAGCAGAGAGAGAAAAAAAAGATCAATTTTACTTACTAAGTAAAATATAGTAAGGTTTATTTTCCATGGCACTACATACTTTTACACTACATATTTTCTATCATACATGAAAAATCCCATACAGTATGGCCCCACTTTAGGTTCCAGGATACCGCCGTAAAGCGTGAATCACAGTAAAGTGGAACATCCTTTTTTTCTACTTATAAATCCATAGAAATACTAGATAACAAGTTTACACTAACGTATATTAAGTTAGCAATAGAACTTGGCATTAAAAAACAAAGTATAATACATGTACACTGATAGTACAGTAGGGCCCCGCTTTACGGCATTTTGCTTTGCGGTGTTCCGCTAATACGGACATTTCAAATTACAGTGGACCCCCGCATAACGATCACCTCCGAAAGCGACCAATTATGTAAGTGTATTTATGTAAGTGCGTTTGTACGTGTATGTTTGGGGGTTTGAAATGGACTAATCTACTTCACAATATTCCTTATGGGAGCAAATTCGGTCAGTACTGGCACCTTAACATACTTCTGGAGTGAAAAAATAACGTTAACCGGGGGTCCACTGTATGTATAACCAAAACTCGCTATACGGCTCCCCCCACCTGACTTTCTAATATGGTCACCGCGCCCCACCTGGTTTGTTTACATTCTATGTGAGATCCGTAAGCACTACATCTCTCCATTATGTCTGGAAACTCCAAAATTTCAAGTGTTTTTAAAAGTTATTTCATATTTTATATATACTCTGATAATTATACTTATGTATACATGTACCTAAATAAGCTTACACACTGTGCTGGTGTGCAGGTACATATTAAAATCAGTAAGAGTGTCTTATGTCTCGAGATGCCATATTAGTAATGATAATAATAATCACTGAGACTAATTAAATGTTGTATATTATGTTAATATACATATTTTCATTAATCCATCTATGACATTTTTTCAAAATTATATAATAAACACAATACATAACATGGAAATAAATGGTATAAAATACCGACACAATGGCAATATAAACACAAATGCAGTATAATGTGATCCTTTATTGACTACGTTTCGCCCACACAGTGGGCTTTTTCAAGTCACAAACAGAACTACCTGGGGTGGAAGGAACGCGAGTATTTATAGTCCGGCTGAGGTCAGGTGAAGAATGCTGCATCTGATGATGTACCGAGTTGGGTTGTAGAGTCTAAAAACTTGGGTAGCCTGGGAAGGAGACTGGACAAGTTTGTGAGCAGACCTTCTACAGTGTTCTTATGTGGGATAGCGATGAAGAAGTTTCTTGGCAAGTGGTTCAGCTATGTTATAGAAGCCACTATTCTGGTTGAAGTTGTCGGATATAGAAATAAGTGATGATTCCAGGATTCTTCAGTATTGAGTGTTGTCTTCTGTGGCGATAAGTCTTGAGTTTCTGTAGTTTATCAAGTGGTTGTGTGAATTGCGGTGTTGTACGCAGGCATTCCTTGTGTCGTCAGACCTGCTTGCGTATTGGTGTTCTGAAATACGTGTTTGGAGGTCCCTTGATGTTTCGCCCACGTATAACTTGTTGCAGTCATTACAAGGGATTATGTATACCCCTGCAGAGGATGGAGGCTTGTCCTGCCTACTACTGGTGATGTCCTTGATGGTCGTGGTTGTGGAGGTAGATACTTGGAATGATGTTTTGGCAAAGATGTTGGAAACATGTTTGGCAATGGAGTTGGTGGGAAGGACTATGTATCTCTTCTCGGCAGTGTCTTCTCTGGGTGTGTTGAAGATGTTTAGTGCTCGCCGTCTGCAGTCTCTGATGAAGTGACGAGGATAGTGGAGTTTGGAAAATACTTGTTCAATTATAGTGCATTCTTCCTCAAGGAACTCGTTGCTGCAGATTCTGAGTGCACGCAGGAAGAAGCCTATAATTACACCACGTTTGGTTTTGGTGTCGTGGTGAGAGTAGAAGTGGAGAAGATCGTTTTGGTTGGTGGGTTTTCGATAGACTTTAAAACGAAGTTCGTGGTCAGCTTCAACGTTCAAGCTCTCCAAGACAAGCTCAACCAGGTCGAGCCTTCAATCCAGTTCACACTTGAAGAAGAGGTCGACAACACTCTTCCTTTCCTTGATGTTCTACTCTGCAAAGCTGACCACGAACTTCGTTTTAAAGTCTATCGAAAACCCACCAACCAAAACGATCTTCTCCACTTCTACTCTCACCACGACACCAAAACCAAACGTGGTGTAATTATAGGCTTCTTCCTGCGTGCACTCAGAATCTGCAGCAACGAGTTCCTTGAGGAAGAATGCACTATAATTGAACAAGTATTTTCCAAACTCCACTATCCTCGTCACTTCATCAGAGACTGCAGACGGCGAGCACTAAACATCTTCAACACACCCAGAGAAGACACTGCCGAGAAGAGATACATAGTCCTTCCCACCAACTCCATTGCCAAACATGTTTCCAACATCTTTGCCAAAACATCATTCCAAGTATCTACCTCCACAACCACGACCATCAAGGACATCACCAGTAGTAGGCAGGACAAGCCTCCATCCTCTGCAGGGGTATACATAATCCCTTGTAATGACTGCAACAAGTTATACGTGGGCGAAACATCAAGGGACCTCCAAACACGTATTTCAGAACACCAATACGCAAGCAGGTCTGACGACACAAGGAATGCCTGCGTACAACACCGCAATTCACACAACCACTTGATAAACTACAGAAACTCAAGACTTATCGCCACAGAAGACAACACTCAATACTGAAGAATCCTGGAATCATCACTTATTTCTATATCCGACAACTTCAACCAGAATAGTGGCTTCTATAACATAGCTGAACCACTTGCCAAGAAACTTCTTCATCGCTATCCCACATAAGAACACTGTAGAAGGTCTGCTCACAAACTTGTCCAGTCTCCTTCCCAGGCTACCCAAGTTTTTAGACTCTACAACCCAACTCGGTACATCATCAGATGCAGCATTCTTCACCTGACCTCAGCCGGACTATAAATACTCGCGTTCCTTCCACCCCAGGTAGTTCTGTTTGTGACTTGAAAAAGCCCACTGTGTGGGCGAAACGTAGTCAATAAAGGATCACATTATACTGCATTTGTGTTTATATTGCCACAATACATAACATATAAAGATGATAAATACACCCGAAAGTAGAATAAATAAACATAAATATGAGATGTAGTAGCCAGACGACTTGTACGAGTGACGCCATATTAGTAATAATAATAATAATAATAATCACCGAGTATCATTAAATGTTGTATATTACGTTAATATACACATTTTCTTTAATCCATCTATGATATTTTCTTCAAAATTATGTAATAAACACGATACACAACATATAAAGATGATAAATGCACCCCACAGTAGAATAAACAAACATAAATATGAGAAGTGGTAGCCAGACAACTTGTTCAAGAGACGGCAAGAATAACATTTTCTCTAGTCCAACGTAAGAGAAAATGTGTTACTAGGGGTAACTGTAGAAAATTATTCCTTTCATATGTAAGTTTATTCAGGTATAGACAAATACAGTTACATAGATTATCATACATAACAGCATATGTGTAGAGAACCTGGGATAACCCAAAAAAGTCAGAGTGACTTATTACCATTACCGTCACTCAGAGCATCATTTTTTCTAAAAATGGTGTTACATGAGAATGAGAGTGTTCTTCTTTATTTATTCTACCGTATCAATGTAGAGACAACTTGTACACAATGTAACTTGTACACAAACCAGACGTGTACACCTGGTTTGTTTACAAAACTTACATTTGCCTGGTTTGTTTACGTAAATCTGCGCCTGTCCTCCCTCATGTACTCATTCTCTCTCTCTCATTTATTCGTTTTATCTCGTTTACTCACCCCTGACCTTACATTAATTAAGACTACAAATTATTTTTTTATTATCACACTGGCCAATTCCCACCAGGACAGGGTGGCCCGAAAAAGAAAAACTTTCACCATCATTCACTCCATCACTGTCTTGCCAGAAGGGTGCTTTACACTACAGTTTTTAAACTGCAACATTAACACCCCTCCTTCAGAGTGCAGGCACTGTACTTCCCATCTCCAGGACTCGAGTCCGGCCTGCCGGTTTCCCTGAACCCCTTCATAAATGTTACTTTGCTCACACTCCAACAGCACGTCAAGTTTTAAAAACCACTTGTCTCCATTCACTCCTATCAAACACGCTCACGCATGCCTGCTGGAAGTCCAAGCCCCTTGCACACAAAGCCTCCTTTACCCCCTCCCTCCAACCTTTCCTAGGCCGACCCCTACCCCGCCTTCCTTCCACTACAGACTGATACACTCTTGAAGTCATTCTGTTTCACTCCATTCTCTCTACATGTCAGAACCACCTCAACAACCATTCCTCAGCCCTCTGGACAACAGTTTTGATAATCCCGCACCTCCTCCTAACTTCCAAACTACGAAATCTCTGCATTATGTTCACACCACACATTGCCCTCAGACATGACATCTCCACTGCCTCCAGCCTTCTCCTCGCTGCAACATTCATCACCCATGCTTCACACCCATATAAGAGCGTTGGTAAAACAATACTCTCATACATTCCCCTCTTTGCCTCCAAGGACAAAGACTACAAATATTTTAAGGTAAGTAATGAGTGAACTGTATATGCATTTTATTGCTCTGGGATGCTTAAATGTCATAGAATATTATGTGTGGGTGGAATGGCCTGGTATGGTAGCCCGGCTGGCTACCATACATACCACACTTGATTTCTTGCAATAACTACTAATCTCACCCTAGATTAAGACTACAAATATTCTAAGGTAAGTAATGAGTGAACTATATATGCATTTTATCGCTCTGGGGTGGTTAAATGTCATAGAATATTGTGTAGGTGGGGTGGCCTGATATGGTAGCCCAGCTGGCTACCATACATACCACACCTGATTTCTTACAATAAATACTACTTGTCTCACCCTAGATTAAGACTACAAATATTTTAAGGTAAGTACAGTGGATCCCCGCATAACGGACGCCTTGCATAACGGACAATCCGCATAGCGGACGCTTTGATCGCTAAAATTTTGCCCCGCATAGCGGACAAAAACCCGCTCAGCGGCCTTCGTCCGAGACGCGTCCAATGTGCGCCCTCAGCCAGCCTCACATGTGCCGCCGGTGGCATTGTTTACCAGCCAGCCTCCGCGGTAACATCCAAGCATACAATCGGAACATTTCGTATTATTACAGTTTTTTTGGTGATTTTTTTCTGGAAAATAAGTGACCATGGGCCCCAAGATAGCTTCTAGTGCCAACCCTACAGCAATAAGGGTGAGAATTACTTTGGAGATGAAGAAAAAGATCATTGATAAGTATGAAAGTGGAGTGCTTGTCTCCGAGCTGGCCAGGTTGTATAATAAACCCCAATCAACCATCGCTACTATTGGTGGTACAGCTGCTGCTGCTGCTGTACCACCGTCAGCTGCTGCTGCTCCTGTAGTACCGTCTGCTGCTGCTGTAGCATCGTCTGCTGCTGCTGCTGTAGCATCGTCTGCTGCTGCTGCTGCTGCTGTAGCATCGTCTGCTGGTGCTGTAACATCGTCAGTTGCTGCTGTAGCATCGTCTGCTGCTGCTGCTGTAGCATCGTCTGCTGCTGCTGCTGCTGCTGCTGTAGCATCGTCTGCTGGTGCTGTAACAATCGTCAGTTGCTGCTGTAGCATCG